AAGAAAACGACAGTCGTCATTATTATGCGATACGTTATGTAACGACATTTTACAGAATAGACCTCTAAATAACCTGTTCCTGTCACGTGTAAATCGTTACAAGAAGACCATAGTGTAGATAAATCCTGGTTTAAATATATTGTATATATGAATTTCACTAATGTTAGTAATGTTGTTTGCTCGCGATAGGTAGAGTTAATATTATATATGTAAGCATATTATATATCGTTAACGTACCATGTTGCAATTTACTAAAATGTGTATCAAACATTGTGGTTAGAAACAACACTTTTACAGAGACAATAATACATAATAATCGTCATGTACATGTTTATTTTCTATTAATCTCATTGCCTTTTGAAATTTAGGTCAGAATATTTTAAATGTCTACAATTTTTAATTTTAATATCTATAACATCTAGTTTCACGACAAATTAAATAAGGCGCCTCTTTTACAACTATAGGCCCCTAGTGAATTAAACAAACATTATTAGAGATCTAATTTACATCCTGCTGCTTTTCCTTAAATTTAGCTACGCGAAACTGAATTATTTCTGCAGGAAAAACGGATCATAGCTTGTATTATTAATACACCCATATTCGTAACGCTGTTCTAGGCTGTCGCCATTTAGTTGAGAATTGCAGCAACAATGTAATACTATAAAGTTTCCTCAACAAGGTGTAACTTTACTGTTCTTCTGCGAACCAAAGTCATTATTGGACATAGTTGCATAAACGAATATGCCACACTGCGTACCATGTTGGCGTGGTTGTAAATATGAGTTTGGTAATGTCTCTAGTCCGTGAATAGTGTGTGAAAATATGCAACAGGATGTTGTCGCAGGCCTTTTGCATAAGGGTATTGTTCTCTCCGACGGGCTGTGACATAACTCTACACCTGAAGAACGATTACTATATATCTTTTTGTATTTTTTGGTCTGGAATTTCTAATCGCTATGCATTATTTACTAATTTATGCACTATAACTAATTTGCGCATGTACACTAAGTATAATAGATTAAATATTACAGTTTTGTTAGCGATTGTAATAATTCTAGCTGTTTTACATCGGCATCAGAAACTGGAAATCAGTAATATCGATATTTGATTTTTAGGCTCTTGGGTAAAAAATGTGGGGATTAAAATGTTTATACATTCATGAATAGGTAATTTTGTATCTATAATAATAAGTACAAGAAATACTGAAAGAGGATCCTTATAAAAAGGTCGATGTTTCAAACTACCAAGCTAAAGAAACAAGTATTCCTATAACTTCTGTATACCTATAACTTTTCATAATATTATTTCACAGTTGTTTGCCACCTAAATAATGTTACCGGAACTACATGGTTTCATTAGAGGATGAATCCATTATTACCAATTTATCGTGCAAGATGCAATTCATTAATAAAGTCCTCGATTGAAAAGAACAGGTTGATTACTGACTGTTCCATGGCATTTGAGAGATTTGACCATGGTTTATTATTGTGCAAGCTGGCCAACGTTGGTCTTGGTGTGTGTAAGTACCATGTTTAGGTCTTATTTAACTGACAGGTCTCAGTTTGTACAGTGTCATGACTAACAGTATATCAAATCTACTCAAACTTTGGATGTTTGATACAACATGCGATGTTGTATCAAATGCCTTGCGGTAATCAGTCCAGGCCATCGATAGATTCCGCTTGTATTACACAGAATCCTGTGTAATACAGCGGTCTATCAGCAGGCTATCCATGCCCTTCCTGGCACCACGCTGTTCGTGTATCTGCTGGAAGACCGGATCAACAGACCTCAGTGTCCTAGCATACAAGATACGTGTGAATATTTGGAGCAGGAGTTGAGGCAAGTGATCGGCCTATAATTCTTCGGATCGGATAGATCCCCCTTTTTGAGGATAGGGACAGTACGTCCCTCGACGAACCAGTCCGGACGCTGCTGCCCCTCGTTCAACCATGATTCATACGGAACAAATTGTTTTGCTCCATAGCTCTCACCCGCCTCTTCAACGTTTTCCTCATAGACATGAGCGCCCGGATCATATCTAGACAGTGTTGCTTGATGGAAAGCATCACTGCAGATTTAGAGTATGATGTTGATGTCTTAATCCGGCTGCTATGCGCCGGATTCTGGGAGTAAAAACTCTACCACACGTCTTGTATTCCACCACACTCTGGATCCAAGAAGCGTGTTGTCTGACCAACTGTATCTTGCTCTCGATTTTCTGAACACGCCGCTTGGCTTTCTCGACCCCGTGATTGGTTGACCTCTCACGGGGGACCAGTTGCTTCGCGGCGTTGTACACAGCATAGTTGATTTGCCAACTGTCGGCTACTTCTGGAAGTCCTCATCGATGACCGCATCCATTCTAGTCAGGTCTTGTGGCATTAGGTTAGCCCTGGTGTTAAGGCTTACCCTCGTCCTTAAGTCTACATCGGTAAACTCTGGAGGATGTTCCCCATCAGCTGCTAATTGCCGTGGTGGAACTACAGCTGGCAGTTCTTTCAGCTGACGGGGTGCCCTTACGTAACCTGTCCGGAGCAAGAAGGACACTTGATCTCTCAAGCATTGTTTAGAGAAGGCGCGATGCTTTGGATGCATTTCGCACCAAAGTGCATGCAATCGCGCCATGTATCCTCTTCGCTCAGGTTCGCTACTCTCACGGCAGGTCAGCAAGTCATCCCGAAGTTCCCTCGTCCACTTAAATCGTTCCTGTCCATTGCGTCCGTCATTATTGAGACCGTCCGGTGAGGCCCCTCCCGCCTGTTTATGACCCCCATCCGCTTGGGGTCGGTCGTGAGGGGCCCTTCTTCTGAGGTTGTATGGAACCATAGTTTATAAGTACCAGGGTGGTTTGTCAGGTAGGGTTCTCTCTGCCTGTCCAGGGTGCACCGCGCGGAGGTTGCCGGTCCTTTGCACCCCTTATTATTATTTTTATTAATATTATCATTATTATTATTATTATTATTATTATTATTACATAAGATGAAATTATATTGAAAAATGTATACCTAAACAAATATTTTAGGCTGTTCACAAGCACATTCCTTTCATCAAAATAACGGAAAAGTTCAATAAACATTTTTCTATTTTAATAAAAAACGGTTTTTTGAATTGCCATTAAATTTGGCATAATTGATTAGAGATAGATAATGATTTAATGAATTGACATACTATTTATTCCATATATTTTATGGGGATGAACAGATAAGCGTGCCTATGGTTTTTTATTTGAGGAAAAAATGCATACAGCATATTTGGATTACACTTGATATTTTAATGGAAATGTAAACATGGGCGCATTCTGCAGAGCTCAGTAGTGGACTGGAGGCTGAAGTCGACAGACGGTGAGAAGGCAGGCAAAAGACTGCAGCAGGAGCGGTGAGTCCCTCCAGAGGGTCGTCGACCGCGCACATGTCATTCTAACTGTCCGCAAATCTACACCGTCGCTTCTGGGAAGCGAACCCCACACCTCGCGCCGGCACATTCCTTGCATTCATACCGCTGCTATTCCGTTCGACATCCACGACATAGACATTGGGTCAATTGAAATATCTTATCAAATTATTTTTAATAGATATTTTAAATTACATTTTTATTTTCTCTACTAATGAACAACAGCTACATTTAATGAGGTAATTAATCAATAGAATTTCATCAGAGAACATTGTATCAACGAATGGCCACAAAGACGTTACTACTTTTGACGGCATATAATTTACACATCTGGCCTGTTTATTTAAAAACACATTAGAGTAATGCTGAATGAATGAAACTGCACGTAACAGCTTAAGGTACATTAGGAAAATTTATGAAAATTCGTAATTAAAATCGATTAAATGGCATTTTAGCCGAAGTTACTGCATGGTTAAAACAAAAAATGTAAGGGACGGTATCACAGGCAGATGAAATTACATACAATGCATTGTGCAGAAATTTCCTTTATTTCCTTGAGGCAATTTTGATACAATAATATTTGAAATAGAATAATATTGGGATAAATTATTTAATACTCATAAAGGAATAATAAAAATTATTAATATCAAAGTATGCCAACAGAGAGGGTAAAAGTTAATTTACAAAATAGTAATACATACTAGAAATAATACTTAATCAAAATCCTTTTAATTAATTTAATTGAAGATTAAATAAAATTTTGTCAACACACACTTTTTAATGATTTATAAATTTGTATCATACTAGGAGAAGTGATAAAAGCTTTTATTGCGATTGTCCACTAGTAAAGATTTTTACAACATAAATGGAAATCGTTGTACATACCATTCGCAGATCAGTTTCTGGTTATTGCCTTCATCAATGCGAAGTAGATATATACACAATGACAGCAAGATAAATCTTCGACTCACTAGTCTCCACATGAAAGCAGAGTACAAATGTGTCTTAATAAGCTCCATTTACCAGTGTCAATCGCAATGTAATATGAATTGGAAAAGTCTGGATGCACGACGTTCATCAATGGTTCCTAAACATCGACGTTTTTCCTTCGAACATTTTGCCATCGATATTGCATTATGAATAACATCGGTGAAATATCTATGTTATGATGTAACATCGGATAAAAATATAAAGGGTAAAGTAAAAAATAATAACAAAAGGATATTTTTGTTTTAGGCTCTTGAGAAATGCAGGTGTCCAGGATTGCACTAAAAGAGATTTTAAATAGTTCACTTGACGTGGATTTTAAAAAAATTAAGAAAATGCTTTTAAACCCTTAAAAAAAGTAGACCTATTATTTTTGTAATTTTAATTTTACAGTCAAAATCAGCGATCTCGAAAACACATAAATAACATGTTTCAGGTACATCTGATATTTTTTTAAATACATACGCCCGCCATATTAAACACTACAGGTAATATAACCTCCTGTATTATTGAAGGTACCTCAAGGTACCTTGTATGGGAGAGGGCTGCACGTTTAGAGACAATGGACAACACCCCATGTTCGAGTATGCTAGGATTAATTTCTGGTTTAGAAAAAATCTTAGCTTTTCGACCGGGGATCGAACCAAGGACTCCAGAGTAAGAGGCAAGTGTCTTTACCACTCGACCACGAAGCCACACATTGGATATTGGATCAGCTATTTCGTTTTTTTTCTAATTTTAACTTTCGATTCGTAATCAACGATCTCGAATATCCCTAAATACCAAGTTTCAGTTAAATCTGAGATTTTCAAATACATGTTTGCCATATTAGATCCGACAATTTGTTTTTTGTAATTCTGAATTTTGATTCGTAATCAGCGACCTCGAAAACCTTAGTATACCAATTTTAGTCTAAAGTGAAGAATGCATTCATATTTTCGCCACGTTTTTGGGATTTGGCACCACTGTGAGGTGCCAAAATTGCATTGTCTTCATAGTCACATTATCAGAAATGAAAAAAAAAAAATTTTGCACAGAGTTCAATGATTTCTGGTCGAATTTGCAGTTTCATATTTCACCCTGTAATTTTTTTCCTGAAAAGCACCGGAAAAAAACTAATTGCATATATGGAACGCCAACCAAATATAAAAGATGTTTAAATCGGTTCACACAGACAAAAAGTACAACTCTTCAAAATACAAGGACATCGCAAGGTGTCCCATTTATATTTTTGACCACTTTATAAAAAAATATTATATCATACAAACAACGAAAAACTAAACGAAACTAAATAATTACACAATGGGCAGTCACTAAAATAATAACGGATGCATTTTTACAATTTCTGGATTTTTTAACGCTACTTCAGAAAATTTTAAACTGGACATTTTAAGGTCGTTTTGAACGTAATATTGCTGTCTTACTTTAAAAAGTTTAAATAAGCGAACAGAGATTGTTCTTATGTTAGTTCGAGACAATTCTCGCCACCCAATAACATCAAACGAACCAAATGTTTGTCCATGTTACCTCAATGCTGCCATGTTAGCCTTTCAACTGCCAATAATAAATTGTATCTATCACCATGGGATAAATTACTGTAATAACATATTCAAAGGCATTTTTTAATACTTATAAGAAAAAAGTACAGACACGAAAAACTGAAATTTTTTTTTCATTTAAAGGGGTAGTTTGGAGGGTTAAATTTGGTGAAAATGTCTGCCAGCCAAGGTTAGGGTTTTTTAATGCCTTGTGAACCATAAGCTGGCTGGGTAGACATCTCTTTTTTTAATCTTAACTATTTTTTAACATTTAAGTACAGTACTGTACACACCAAAACAAACATTTTGCGCTAGGTTTGGTCCGGTAACTAAAAAAAAATTGTTTTCAATTTCCGGTTATCGCCAGCCGACCGGAAGTTTTGTCTGCCAGCGTAATTGGAGTATGTGGAGTACATATACTAACTACATATGCGGACAAATATCGTAACCATTCGATTAAAAAAAAAAAGTGTTCCCCCTCCGTATCCGACGGCCATACCAAAAATTTCAAAAGAGAAAAAAAGTATGGTCCTCGTATGGTCTCTTTGATTACCGACTGGTAGGCGGTAACCTTTCATCGTTGCATGTAATTGCTTAGACTAGATACTACGTTATTAACGCACTATGTGATTACCCCAAATCGGCCTAGGGCTACGTGGGGCATTTCTTCGCAATGCGTGCGTTAATAATGTCTTTATCCCACTTATATCGTAAATAACTATTTCGCACAAATTTTTAAAAAGTACTGTCATTCTTTTTTTTTGTATCGAATATGGTAGATTTCATAGTTTTTTAGTAAGTTTTCCCATTTACTCAAACACAAGTAAAACTAACTAAATCTGGGAACTTTTGCCCAACAATGGCAACACTGACTAAAGGAAATATATCTCGGTATCAAACGAACTCCTCTCATTGGGCATTCGAGCTATTAAAAAAAAGGTGGCCGATTTGACTAAAAGTGTTAATCAAAACAGTGTTCTCATTTCAATTTGTTTATATTATTTTTTTTAGAAAATTAAACTAATGTTTCGTAATAGTCACAATCATATCCAGCTATTTTTCAGCTCATTTTTCTTAAAATCAAATTGGCTTTTATATAAAAAAAGAGTGTACGATAACTGTAGATTTCAGTTAAACACTAACTTGTTTGTTGATAAATGCGTTTTTACTGATAGGCAACACGTTATACATTTTCATTCATATAATTTATATTTATCGATATTCACAAAACTAGAACTATTATTTCACGGTTAAATGTTTATTGTAAGCTGTACTAGATGTCAATAATTATTTAATTCTCATTATTTTATCAATTCTTGTACATTTTATCATCAGGTTTTACACTATGATGTGGCCGAATCAAAGATTTTTACCAAACTTATTTATTAGTTGTCTGCTCTAAATAACCATAATCACTATTAAACTGACTAAGATGTACTTTTAGAAAAAAATATGATGAACAAAAACAAAATGGACAAAATATTTAATATTACGTGAAAACCGATACTGCACTTATTTATACCTTTAGAGAAAATTTGCCCTAATTTATTTTGCATAAGTGTTTAATTGTTTTGATAATATAGTTCTAAAGGTAAACTTGTTTCCTTTTAAATATGATGACAAATGGAGAGATATACCTTTGAAAACATTTACAAAAATATAATATTTACAAATTAATAAATAGGAAGATAATAAATTTATGAAGATAATAATTAACAACTGCAGATGAAATCACTTATTTATACAAGATTATAAAACGAGTGATATTTTAGAATTCGCCTAACGACTCGTTCTGAAAAATCCTCGGGTGTTCAAAAAAGTCACTTTATACTCGAGATTTATATATGATTCTTTCTACTACCAAGTATTTTAAATTAGAGACATATTGAATCTTAACTTTTTTTAGTTGCCGTCCAATTGACAACGGCCCAAATATAACAATCACATTATATGATTTCATTAAGTTGCCAGGGTATTAAGTAAATAAACCAAAATATCTTAATCGCCATTATTTTCTCAGTAAAAGAGTTTTAAAAAACCTGGTTGTGCAGAAATTGTGTACAACTTTTTTAAATATGAGCAAAGAAAGTGATCAAAGTGATTTTTCAGACACTCGAGAAGTGACGGAATCAGTAGAAGCCTTTAACTTACAGATTGTTCCTGAGACATCCAGATGTCTGTATGAAAAATAGTACGAAGCCTTTGCCAGTTGGCGCCAGCGAAACAAAGTCTTTATGGTAGGGAAACTACCTGGTTTTTCTTGCTTATTTAGGTGAAAAATCCAAATGTGATCAAAATATTGCATGGTAATATCGGCTTTGGCTGTCAAAGAAAATGTAGATATAGTACCCTAAAGTAAAAGAGTTTCTTACAATTGAAAATACTCCTGGGCGCATGTATATGTCTAAGCATTGATGAAGTGACATACGACAGAATGCGACAGATCTGTTGGCCGGCATTATATAAAAGCGATACATTAGGATGAATGATGACCTGTAGAGCTTGTTTATATATTTAAATAGGTTGTTTCACATACGTATGATTATAATATAATAAATGATAGTATAACATTATTTTTTGAGCTCTTCTGTTATGACTGTAAAACTTGACATTTTTATTAAAAACAAGTTAAACAGTTACAGTGTGTTTTTATTTATTTTGTTCCGTCTATTTTTATATTCTTCATAAATGTTATGTTCTCTTAATAATTTTTTTTCGATAAAAATTTTGTGCTTGTTTCATTTGTAAAAATTGGTTTTATGTTTATTAAATTTTAAAATATACATATTATGTATACATGATACACGTAGGTGTCACATAGATGGTATGTGGTGTCATGATATAAATGTGACACCCATTAGAAATATAACTTCTGGCTGTGATTGTAAAATTTTGCGTTGAGTTTAGGTTTTAAAATTATTATGACTGCCTAATGTGTTTAATAAATTTCTATATGAAATACATCAAAGAATGAGATAAATTCTGGAAATCATATATTTTGTAATAGGCATTTCTATATTTCTTCCTTATTTTATAAGAGTTATCATTTTCTTTTTGTAAGCGGCCTTACACAATTTGATACAGTAGTTTTCCGACATTACAATTATATATAAGGCCGCAAAAGATTCTAAAAGAATTTTTATAAAAATTATATGCTTTTAAATATCGCATTATGCTTACTCGGTGACTTTAAATGGGATTCCAATTAAGGTTTCTAAAATTTTTATTACGTTTCAAATTAGAAAACTAGCAGCTGTGTCAAGTATTTCAATACTTGTTATTGTCAAAATAACGCGTGATGATTATTTTGACAACTATTAAATTGATTGCATTTGCATTTAATTGTAACTATATCATGTCATCAAAAATGAGTATCACCAGGAAGTACCATCCAAAAAAGTTTTGTTGGAACGTATTGAAAATAGTGCTGCTCGAATTAGACAAAACCGTTTCCAAAAACTTCGTGTGTGCCGGTCTGTCCGTCGAAGAGTTAGATTATGCATAGAAGCAAATGGAAATAATTTTTGTCCGAACAAAATCCAAATATTTTATATTACTGTTTTTCTTTGGAACACGGTGCTTTTAATTACGTTCCCTTTAGACTATTTACGTCTCTGACCATTTGCTTGAAACAACCAATACACCATTCGAAAAAGAATAATATGGTGTATAGTCATTCACAATCTTCAATTATTATTTCCTCTAGCCATTCCTGAGAAAAATTTAAAAACACTTATGTTAAGCGCCTCTTTGACACCATATAACTTTAAAATGGAACAACTTAGGGGGAATTAAAATTTTCTTATGAATTCTAACAAAAGAATGGCAGACTAATTAGTAGAAATAAGTATTTACATGTAATAATTAATGAATAATTAAAATGCAAATTTAGGCACACTTAAGAACATTTATTTTAAATTACCAATTTTTAAGCAATTTTTTAAAAAAAACATCACAGGTAATACAACCCCAAGATTCCTGTAACGCGAAGAATAATTTAAAAAAATAATAAACAAATAAAATGGAAAACAAATACCTATCACAAAATGGAAGCAAAATTTAAATTTTCCACATTCTTAATATAAACTTTTTAGTTACTAAACAATTATACTGTGTAAAATATGTCTTGTCACATGAAATATTCCATATTCCATGAA